CGTGTCAACAGACCGGGTCTGGATCTGTGATGGTAAAGGCAATCTAATCTTAACTAACATGAGAGGTGACATTCTAGATCGTGTGACGGATTTAACTGAATATGGTGGCTATGGAGTACATACAGTGACACAGGATAGTGCTGTGATTTATATAGACAGACACAGTAACATCATAAAACGATCTAAAGATAGAGTAAAGACCACAGTGATACCATACACATCACCATGGGAACCAGAGTGTGTCTACAGCTCCCCCTCCACTGGAGACCTGCTGGTCGGAATGTCTAATCTAATGACAGGCCAGGTACACCGTTACAATAAGACAGGTAAACACATACAGACCATACAGCACGACAACACAGGTCAGGGATTGTATATTTATCCTGGATACATCACAGAGAACCGCAATGGAGATGTTATTGTGTCTGACTATGGGCGTGATGTTGTAGTGGTGACAGATCGTGTAGGGAGACATCGCTTCTCCTACAGAGGTCCTCCATCAGGATCACGACTATATCCATGGGGAATCTGTACTGACGCGCTGTCACACATCCTGCTGTGTGATTATAACACCTACACAGTACAGATGCTTGATAAATACGGTAACTACCTGACACAGTTAGATACAGAACAACACGGGAGAGACAGACCAGTCAGCCTGAGTTATGATGACAAAACTCACTGTGTCTGGGTAGGATCAGACCGCCACAACACAGTGACCATCTACACACTTATCTATGGAGGGGATAATCTGACTGGTAAGTTATACTGAAGTATTGTTATACCTTTAGATATTTGTTCCTATACAATTCAATACTAAAAAAAGTCTAACATTTTTAATGTTTTGCTGAGCGGGCATAAAAATATCGATGTTGGACCGCTGAGTGAGATGTTGGACCGCTTGGAGAGATGTTGGACCGCTTATGTCACAGAGTGGGCGGAGCTTAATCTCATTTTCATTCGCTGGTGTTAAACAGTGATAGATCTGATGTTACATCACGGAATTAAGTACAAAATACGTATATATAAATATATATATATATATATATATATATATATATATATATATATATATATATAGAAAGCACAGAGAAATTCACTTTTACAAGGATACCCACTTCCGCCCCAGCCCGGGGTTGAACTCTCGACCTACGGAATCTGTCTCCTAGCAGTGCAGGAACAGCGCGTTAGACCGCTCGGCTATCTAGGCAAGTTAAAAAACTTGCTTTCGATGCCGATGGAATTCTCACAACGCTGTCCTACACTACATTATATATATTATATATATATTAATATTTCTTCACTTAGGGCATTTATATTAGTTTAAGAGTTGTTGTAAATTGTGCTTTATAAATAAAATTAATTTCATCACAACATGTATTGGTAACACAATCCTCTAAAAACTAATGTCCAAATAACTGTATCTCACTTCCATTCTCAATGACCGTGTAGTGTAGGACAGCGTTGTGAGAATTCCATCGGCATCGAAAGCAAGTTTTTTAACTTGCCTAGATAGCCGAGCGGTCTAACGCGCTGTTCCTGCACTGCTAGGAGACAGATTCCGTAGGTCGAGAGTTCAACCCCGGGCTGGGGCGGAAGTGGGTATCCTTGTAAAAGTGAATTTCTTTGTGCTTTCTATATTAATATTTCTTCACTTAGGGCAGTTATATTAGTTTAAGAGTTGTTGTAAATTGTGCTTTATATATATATATATATATATATATATATATATATATATATATATATATATATATATATATATATATATATATATATATATATTTATATTTATATATAATATAATAAAATGAAAGGTATAACTAAACATTTATTGACAGAGTTCTCGGGCAAAATGCGTTTTGTCGAACCCTCGAACCAAACTGTTTGCCTTAGGCCTAACGGCCTCAGGCAGACAGTTTGGTTCTTGGGTCCGACAAAACGCATGTTGCCCTCGAACTCAGTCAATAAATGTATATTTTTATATGTTTGTTTACAATGTTTAGTGTGTATAATATAGTAAAGTCATTGTTCTGTGTGTAATTACAAGACATTACGGAATTATCATAGTGATAACTTTTAAGTGTAAATACATTACATAATTGATTGAATTCTCATTCTAACTTGTGTTTAGTAACAAGAAATGTTTTTAAGAAAGGATAGATAACTTGTCAAATTAATAATGATTTGATCTTTATATTAGATTTAATTAGACATGTTAGAGTTATTTTAATGTGTACTTAGTTGTTAACTTTGTTGTCTTTGACAAACAATTCCTGATTTTGTACAGTTTGGATAATGATTTGTTAACATGATTAAATAACTGTCATTGATTCTGTCTTCTATTTGGGTAAATATGATATTTTTATATTCCTCTGCTATATGGTTTGTAGGTTAAATTTTTAGATCACTACAAATGTCAGGAAATGGAAAAATAATTGTACAATTGGGGCTCATGAGTGTTGGAGGGGGATGGGGGTAATGTCATAGACCTTATCATTAGATAATACGGTAAATCTGGATATTTTTACGTCGATTTATTTTTGCGAATTTGGGTCAAAAAGCTGTTGATTAATTTTTACGCTTCAATTTTTTTGCGAATTGTCACTGGTGCTAAAAATAAAAATCACTGAAGATTTTCATATCAGGTTATTTTTCAAATAATATGCCTTGTTAGAATACCACCAATATACTTGCAATGTGGCAAGAAATTGCAAAATTGCTCCCAGACAATTTTGATAAAAATACATAAGGATTTGCACTGAATATAATTTCAACTATAACAAACATTTTAGAGGTTATGTATGCCTTTTAACCTAAAGTATAATCCAAATGAAGAAAAAATATAACTTAATTTTTCAACGTTTATTTTTTTTTCTCACCTATTTACATGCCCCGTTTACATTTGGAACTTTTAAGTAAATGCACTGAATTTGGGTTATCGCCCGTGTTGATATACGCTTAAAGATAAAATGACAGTACTCTCTTTATTGGCTTAATTGATGAGAATAATTAAAAATGGACATACCGCCTCAGTGCTTGTCAAATCATCGGACGATATTGCATAGAATGAGGGCAATTTACACGCACGGGTAATTAACTTGTAGTTATATAGTAGACTATAGCTAGTGTATATTACATGGAGATTTTATGGCTAAAATGAAACCAATGCCAGGATTATAGAGTCATATCAGTGTAACCCCCCTCCCACCCCCAACTTCACCACACACACACACTCTCACACACACCCTCCCTCACCCTCTCCCTTCCTCACACACACACACAATTTTTGGGGGGTAGGTTTTGATGGGAAGGAGGTGTCACACGGTGTCTCACTTTATCATGCTATTTAATCTTTTTCTTTTAAGTACTTTTTTAGTTAAAAAAAACCCTTTTTGTTCTGTACTTACACAATGTATTATGTTAAAAAGTGAATAATTCTCAGGAATTAGAATGAAAGAAAACAAGCAAATGTGATGTGATGTGGCCCCTGGGCCTCTTGTTAAAACTTCTTAAGGTTGATAAGATTACGCAGTTAGTTTTAAGATCTACTGGTCAGAGACCCTTTGCGTCCAGTGTCTGTCCGTCTGTCTGTTTGTCTGTAAACAATTTCTCAAAATGCTACTCCTCCTACAGTTTTGATCTAATTTCAATATAACTTGGCACACAGTTAGACACTAAGATACATAATACTGATAATGGTTTTTGATTTCAATGAACGGTGTTGCCGTGGTTACTAAAAGTAGAAATTTCTGTGTTATTCCTTTAAAATGCTACTCCTCCTACAGTTCTGGTCTGATTTCAATATAACATGGCACACAAGTAGACTACACTAAGATAAATAATTCTATGTATCAGTTTTTAGCTCACCTCAACGAAGTTGGGGGGAGCTTATGTGATACCCTCGGCGTCGTCGTCGGTGTCGGCGTCCCGGGTTAAGGTTAAGTTTTTTGGAGCAGTTTTCTCTTTAAGTACTTCTATGTCCTATATTGATTAGACATGCATGGAAAATGTTGCTAGTGTGTTTCATTGTACCAGTCAAAGTTTCAGATGCTGCAATTTCAGCAAAGGAATGACCAGGTTAATGTTTTTGGTGCAGGTTAACATTTTTGGTGCAGTTTTTGGTGTAGGTCTCATTTCCGAGTAACTATAAGCGCTATGTTGACCAAACTTACATGGATGATACATCTTAGGATGCATACTACCAACCTTGCTTCGGATGCTGAATCTGACCTACATTTTCAGGTTGAGTGAACAGGTTAATTTTTTTGGTGATGGTTTCATTTTGAAGATACTTTGAGCCCTATAATGACCAAACTTGCATAGATGGTACATCCTAAGATGTATTCTACTAAACTTGCTTCGGATGCTGAATCTAACCAACATTTTCCGGTTGAGTGAACAGGTTAAGGTTTTTGGTGCAGGTTTCATTTCCAAGTTACTATGAGACATATAATGACAAAACTTACATGAATGATACATCTTAGGATGCATACTACCAGCCTTGCTTCGAATGCTGAATCTGACCTACATTTTCCGGTTGAGTGAACAGGTTAAAGTTTTTGGTGAAGGTTTTATTTCGAAGATACTTTGAGCCCTATAATGACCAAACTTGCATGGATGGTACATCTTAGGATGCATATTACAAGACCTGCTTCGAATGCTGAATCTGACCTACATTTTCCGGTTGAGTGAACAGGTTAAAATTTTGGGTGCAGGTTTCATTTCCAAGGTACAGTACTATGAACTCTATAACGACTAAATTGCATGGATGGTACATCTTAGGATGCATACTACCAGACTTGCTTCGGATGCTGTATCTGACCAACATTTTCTCAACGAGTAAACAGGTTAAAGTTTATGGTGCAGGATTCATTTCCAAGTAACTTTGAGCCCTATAACGACTAAATTGCATTGATGGTGCATGTAAGGATGCATTCTACTAGGCTGGCTTCGGATGCTGAATCTGACTTACATTTTCTGGATTAGTGGAAAGGTTAATTTTTTTATACAGGTTTCATTTGCAAGTAACTTTAAGCCCTATGTTGGCCAAACTTGCATGGATGCACACTAATGGACTTGCTTCAGATGCTGAATTCGACATACATTTTCCAGATAATAGACCTCGTAAAAGTTATGGGTGCAAGTCTATCACCAAGAAACTATAAGGCTCATATAAACCAGTTGTACAAATGATGCATCAAGGGATGAAAACTCCCAATCTTGCTTTCGCTGCTGGATTTTAATTACATTTTCATGATGAAGAACTAGTTTTTAGTTTTTATATAGGTCTATTCCAAAGTATCAAAGGATGATGTGACATAACTGCTATCTGGGGCCCCTTTTTCCATGTCGAATTATATTTAATCTACAACGATGTTGGTAGTTTTCAAACATGAGTGAATAAATACGATGCCTATTGAATAGTTTCAATAGTTCAGACACATTTTAATTATAAGGAATACTGCATTATCTTTGATTTTTTAGACCCTATCAAAGCTAAATTCGGCCAGGATTGTGCGAATATTTTCTTTTGCGGCAAGGGAATGGGCGGGTCTTAGTACAATAGAAGGATATGCGTGTCTGAGAACACCTTATATGGCTATTGTTATTGTTTCGCACTTAGTCATTGTCCAATCCGATAACAGAAGAACAAAACACGCTGGTTTACTACGTTTCCATATTATCGCTGACACGTGGTTTAGGTCAATTTACCTGTTATCCTTTTCTACATTTCAAACTTTTATAATGGTCATCCAATGCTGTTTATACTTAATAATTCGCATGAATTTTCAGCATTTACGGTTTTTAGGACCAAAAAATGCACATGAAACTTGTATTCACCGATACTCGGGAATACGTGTAGACCTAGCGAATTGCTCACCAAACACGCTACAAAACTTAAAACTATTGCATATCATGTATATTCTATCAATTGTTTGTAACTGTATATAAATTTTACTGTAGTCTCGGAAATGATACATATGTATAGATCCGTGTCTAATCTGCGACTCAAATGCATAAAAAATATCGAAAAGCAGTAAAATTCCAAGCACGTTTCCATAGTATTATTGTGGTACTCACTCGTAACGGATTTCATTTAGCTGATTGGTCAGTTAGAAAGTATCGCCTGTGCCTCGATTAGCATATGAATTCATTCTTACGTCAGAAAATCCAGTTCTGTCGATCTGTTTATAATGGGAAAGGGCAACTAGATTTTACAATTTTTAAAAAATAGTATGTGAGCGCAGTTAGGTACAATTTTCTCCTTTCACATATAGGTAGATTTCAATAAAATACAGTGACCAGCCAAAGGAGAAAATTGTACCTACCTGCGCTCGTATATTTTAAGGGCTTCAAAGATTGGGGCGGGGTTAAAATGCAATGGGAATTGAATGTAAACATGATACCCCTACCCCAATAAAAGATCTATAACTTTCAAATTACGATTCTATTTTTGTTAAAAATAGTATTCTATAAAGGAACACACATCAATGATTAGTTACATGCAAAAATTTGAGTAAAATTAAGACATTTAATTTTTTGTCAGTATACGAGGGGCCGCAAGTCACCTCATCCTTTGCATAAATGTTGCATTTTTGGATGTAAACTTTTTGTTGGTTAATTGTGTGACTTAATTTGCCTTACTTAAAGACAACACACGTTGAGGTGAGCTCTGTAATCTCTAATAACCTATGTTTGATTTCAGTGAACATTGTTGCCATAGTTACTAAAAATAGAAGTTTCTGTAAAATTGTTTCAAAATGCTTCTCCAAAAGTTTTGGTCTGATTTGAATATAACTTGGCACACAAGTAAACTGCACTAAGATACCTTATTCTATACATAGGGTTTGATTTCAATGAAGAATGTTGCCATGGTTACTAAAAATAGAAATTTCTGTGATTTTTTTTTCAAAATGCTACTCCTAGTACAGTTTTGGTCTGATTTCAATATATCTTGGCACACAAGTAGATCACACTAAGATACATAATTCTGTATATCTGTTTTTAATTTCAATGAACGGTGTTGCCGTGTTTACTAAAGATAGAAATTTCTGTAAAAGTGTTTCAAAATGCCACTCCTCCTACAGTTTTGATCTGATTTTAATATAACTTGGCCCACAAGTAGACTACACTAAGAACATAAAGAGATTTTATCAAGAATCATTATTCTATGTATTGCTGTTGTTATATGCCCGTCTTAAGATGGGACGTATTATGTTATAGGCTTCTTGTCCGTCCGTCTGTCCGTCTGTCTGTCTGTTAGCTTTTCGTTTCCGGCTCATAACTTTTATACTGTTAGGCCTAGGATTATCAAACTTTGTCATCTGTTGCATCTTTGGTAGAAGGTGTGTCGCGCACAAAAAGAAGGTCGCTCTGACCTTTAATAAAGAAGATATAGCCAAATATGGAAAAATCCTTTCCGGCCAAAAACTAGAAAACTATAAGTCTTTCAATCATCAAACTTGGCCAGTTTATGCATCTTAGGTAGAAGGTGTTTGGCGACCTAATTCAAAGTCACTGTGACCTTTGATTTAAATGAAATTTAAAAAACAATGTTTTTTACTATTCATTTACACATCCCAAATAATGTAAGAGTATTGCACTGTCCTTATTAAAAAAGTGTTAAATCAAGAAAATAGTTATTTTTTTTCAAGCATATACTTGACAGCAATCTATAACAAATATTATGTATGTTAGAGAAATCCTACCTCTCCAATGAGTGTAATTATCAAGCACTGGTCAAGACTCAAGAAGAATTCGGTTAACAGAAAATTGCATGTCAAATTACAGAGAAATTAATGTGTTTTGAGTGTGAGGAGTTTGCTAATAGCTAGAGCATGGTCTTATCTATATCCCTTGAGTATTGGGCAAATGTGTGAGCCTGTTGGATTAAAAATAACTCTTGCTGGCTAGCCTAAGTTTTAAAATGAATTTAATGAAAAGTAATTAAAATTAATTTAATATTGCATGGTAGACTAATCTTATATTATATAAAATTATTAATTTATAAAAACTAATTTCATGGGATTGGGGTGGAATCAGCATGTCCATATGAATTGTATATTAAAACCTGTCGGACATTAAATCATCATTAATGTCAACCAAAAAAAATCTTTGAGTATTTCATATCTTTTAAAAAAAAGTTATGGTAGATTGTGCAGACCCATTTATCTATTGGTATTAATGAGTAGACATGCACCCAGTTAAAGATTAATTAATGAGTTCAGCCTAGCTGTCTTAACTCTGATCAAGCTGTATGATGACCTTTGGGAATTAGACAGAAGAAATGTTGGCTGGTTTATAGCATATGTCATTTGATGGCCAGCCTTTTCTTTTCAAAATTAATTACCGGTCAAGGTAGCCTAGTGGTAGAGCGTTCCCTTCGTGATCGGGAGGCCATGGTTCGATTCTCGATCGCGGCACCGTTTCATACATTAGACGTAAACAAAGGTAGTGACTGTTCCTTCGCCAAGCGCTCAGCACTAGAAGTGAAAGTCACGGGTCTTTCGGATATGACCTTAAAAACGTAGGTCCCGTGTCACGGTAGGCGTTGGCACGATAAAGAACCCTCACTGCTCAATGGCCCTGAGTGCCGAGTATAGGTCTAAATTTGAAGCCCTTCACCGGCATCGGTGACGTCTCCATATGAGTGAAAAATTCTCAAGAGGGACGTTAAACAATATACAATCAATCAATCAATCAAAATTAATTTGATATAGATTAATTTGTTAAGACTAATTTGATATTGTTTAATATGATGGACATTTGACAAGGTCTAACACAACCAGCAGAGAAATCTATCAGTGATGTAATATTTATTATAACTAATGCCTACATCAAAGGGGATGGATAAATATTTTTAGGAATGGAAAAATCATGGAAATTTAGAATCAGGGTTGACGTGATTGCAAGCTTAACTGTTGAAGAAAATTGTAATTTTTGACAGGCGTATCATGCTGTGGCGCGGAACTTTATTAAGTTTCAATTCCCAACTGCTTAAGCACTTTCTCTTCCTTACTATAAGTACAAACTAGTTGAGCTTCAATTTGACAGAGACTTCTGGTTTATTAGCAGAATAGATCCCTGAGCCGAAGTGAGCTTTTCTGATCACATTTTGTCCGGTGTCCATCTGTCTAGCTGTCTGTCCGACTGTAAACTTAACTAATTTTCAACTTTTTCTTAAGAACCACTGGGTCAATATTAACAAAGCTTGATACAAAGCATCCCTGAGTGATGGGGAATTCAAATTGTCAAAATGAAGGGCCAAGTCCCCTTACAATGGGAGATAATCAAGAAAAGATGAAAATAGGGTAGGGTCATTAGAAAATAGTCATCTTAAGAACCACTTGGTCAGAAAAGTTGAAATTTATGTGGAAGCTTCATGGGGTAGTGTAGATTCTGATTTATTAAAATCATGACCCCCAGGGGTAGGATGGGGACACAATGGGGAATCTACGTTTGATATAAATATATAGGAAACATCTTTAAAAATCTTCTTCTCAAGAAACTCTGGGCAGAAAACCTGACACTTATGTAGAAGCTGCTGATCCTGGCGAAGGGGGGGGGGGGGGGGGCGGAACCACAATAGGGAATCCAAGTTTAACACTGAAACATTTAGGGAAAATCTTTAGAAATCTTCTTCTCAATAATCAGTGGCAAAGAAAAAAAATAAACTTACCCGGAATTATCCTTAGGAAAGGAAAATTCTAACCTATTAAAATCATGACCCATGGGGATACTAAGGGCGAGGTCACAGTAGGGGATCCTAGTTTAACAAAAGAAATGTATAGGAAAAATTCTCTAAAAATCATTTTCTCAAGAATCAACAGGCCATGGAAGCTAAAACGTGTGTTAAAGTATCATGGGAGTAGTGTTGATGCCACATTGGCAAAATCCTCACCCCCGGGGGTAGGGCAGGTGGTGTCACATTGACACAATAGGGGATCCACGTTTAACATAGAAATATATAGAAAAAAAATTAGAAAATTTCTTTCCAAGAACCACTGAGCCAGTAAAGCTGAAATTTAAGTCGAAGCAATATAGGTAGTGTTGATTCTAAATTGTTAAAATCTTGACCCCGGGAAGGGGGGGGGTATGGGCTCAATATGTATTACAAGGGGGGGGATTGTATTAAAAATCCTGATTTTGCTGTTGATGGAGAAGGATATGGAAATAACGAACAGTATTCAATCTTAACGTCCATTAAACAATATACAAAATAAGAGCAGAGCAAACACTGACCTCCGAATCATAAGAGGTGGGATCAGGTGCTATGGAGGAGTGAGCATCCCCTGCTGACCGGTCACACCTGCTGTGTGCTCGTTGTCATGATCAGGAAATAACGGAAAAAAATCCGTCGTCAATTCAGTGTATAATTAATGGACTAACAAAAAGGCATCTCCGAAGTTACTCAGGTGACTCATGTCGCCAATAGACTTCTTGTTTTATGAGTAAAAAACATAGCTATTTTTCTGCTACAAAAATAGTATTATCTATGTTTGTAAACTTTTAACAGAGGAAATTTCAATCCTTGTTCTTAGCTCATGACATAAATCATATGACCAAAGCAAAAATATCAGATATTATTCTGGGACTGAATTAGAAAGATAAGACATAAAAATAACAGATCTAGAGTAACATATTTTACCCTGGAACACCTGTAAAGTGCATTTTTTTTAAAAAAAAATTCAAATTCTAGTGCTTTATGCATGTGTTTTCATTTCTATTCTGAGAACATGCCTGTTTTTGTTATAGATCCAAGCAGTGATGATATAAATAAAGTGGATGAGTTGAAGAAGTTTCTGAGAAAGAAGAAGACAAGTGTTTCCCATGCCAGAGGAATACTTGTTGGATGTGCTGATGCTGGAAAAACGACGCTACTAAAGAGATTAAGAAAGCAAAGTCAAAATGTCAGCAAAGCTCCAAAGTCATCCAGGGGACTAACAACACTGCTGAAGCGATTAAGAGGGAAACACCAAGATGTCAGTGAAGTTACAGAGTCCACCAGGGGACTGGAAGTCCATCATCATCTCTTTATTGTTAGAGATGGAGTTTTAGAAGGTAGAAAAAATTCTGAGACATATTTAAAGGAAAAATTCAAGTGAGCTTTTCTGATCAAAATTTGTCCGTTGTCTGTCGCTGTCGTCATTGTTGTCGTTGTAGTTATTGTTAACTTTTCACATTTTCATCTTCTTCTCAAAAACCGCTTGGCCAATTTCAATCAAACTTGCTACAAAGTATCCTTGGGTAAAGGGCATTCAAGTTTGTTCTAATGAAGGGCTTCGCCCTTTTCCAATGGGAGATAATTATGAATTAGAGATAAATTAATGGCATTTTAAAAAAAAATATTTTTCTCAAGAACCACTGGGCCAGGAAAGATGAAAGTCATGTGGAATCATCCTCAGGTAGTGTAGATTCAAGTTTGTTCAAATCATGATGTAGAATCAAGTTTGTTCAAATCATGACCCCAAGGGGTAGGGTGGGGCCAAAATGGCCGATCAAAGTTTTACATAGGTCCTGGAATATATAATAAAAATCTTCTTTTCTAGAACCATTTAGACAGGAAAGATTAAACTCCTGTGGAATTATCCCCAGGTAGTGTAGATTAAAGTTTGTTCAAATTGTAAGGTGGGGCCAAATGGCCAATAAAAGTTTTACATAGGAATATATAGGTAAACCTTTTAAAATCTTTTATTCAAGTATTTCAAAGCCATGCCTAGTGATATGTATAGGGAATCATCCTCAGGTAGTGTAGATCCTATTTTTTTTAAATTATGACCCCCTGGGGGTTAAAATTCAAGCCCCCTCCCCTCAGTAAACTTTCAGTTCTGATCTGATTTGTTCTTTTTCCTAGCCAATTGCTCAGGTGAGCGATGTGGCCCCTGAGCCTCTTGTTTGATTTTTTTTATGAAACCCAGTTTTAAAGTTCTTAACTATTCAAGATATCTACATCAAAATTTATACCCTGAATACACGTTACATGTATGTTGCCTTACTAATTCAAAGCCATGGGTATTCATGCCCTATGTCCTAGATCCTCTTATGTTCAATCTAGAGCAGCCAACCAGGGAGCTGGAAAATATTCAATCATCATACAATAAATACCGTAGATTCCTAAATATACAAGTTGAATTAATTATCATCATTTAATAAATACTGTAGATTCATAAATATACACGTGGAATTAATAATCGTCACATTAAAAATACCGTAGATTCCTATATATGCACGTGGAATTAATTATCATCATATAATAAATACTGTATATTCCTAAATATACACGTGGAATTAATTATCGTCATTTAATAAATACTGTAGATTCCTAAATATACACATGGAATTAAATATTGCGTAATTTTGCAAGAAGCACCACACACGAAATTAAAGCTGCTTAATCCAAAACAGGCACATATTATCTTAAACAATAAAAATACGTCATTACCTATATAATATATAAAAATAGACAATAAGATTGATTTGAAAGTTTATTACAACGATCCTTACATGGAAAACATAGATCAAAAACCTTATTGACAATCAGAAGTTCCTAACGGGAGGGTAAGATCTGTTATGAAGTCACCTTTGAAAAAAAAAATATGGATCTGTTATATCTAATTATGAAGATAATTCAAATATGCGTATGTTTTTAAAGAATAAAGAAAAATCAGATATTTTTAAAGATTTTTTAAAACAGAAATTAAGTAAAAAAGGCTAAAATATTTTCTGTGTACAGGTATAAGTGCTTTGTTGTTAAAAAAATGCTTGTTTTTCATGAGATATACTCGATAAATTTAATTTTTCAAAGGTGAAAGGTGATTTCATGCGATATCAACATAGGATTTACTCCGATTATTTTTTTTGTGACCTAACAAAAATTATTCTTTTTACTTTTGAATTTTCATATCTTTTGAAAGAAAGACTTTGGGGACATGGTTTGACGAAAGTTAAAACAATTTATGGACAATTAATTTTCAAGAAGAGAAAGGAATATATTTTTTCGCGATTAGAATCGGTCTTTAGAAGCGGCTTTAAGATACTGACTTTTATTTTTATAATGCTGAAATCTATTTTAAAACTCTTGATTGACTGTTCATTTGCGAATTATTATTCCAAAGGGCATAACTCTGTCAAAAGAAACTTGACCTAGATATTAATTTGATCAATCTGTATACCAACGTTTCATTTCAGTAAGTGCAATGGTTGTGAAGAAAATGAAGGAAACTTAGTTGACCAATAGGCAGACTGGTTGACAGACCTACCAACTGACATACAGCAGCAAAGCAATATACCCTCGATTTTTCGAAAGGGGATATAAAAAAAATATTATTTATATAATGAACACATATATGTTGATTTAAGTTAAAATCCGTGGACTGTTTGTTCTCAATCCTCAGATATGAAAAAAAGAGATGAGGCCTAAAAAAATAGTAACTTGGTTCTCAGGCTCATCCGCATTTTATTCAACAATTCGCATTACCCATTTTTATCCTCAAATAATAAAATAAAATTTCTCTCATGCGCTCGTAAATTACCCCCCCCCCCCCAAAAAAAAAAAAAAAAAAACGGAATTCCTGACTGCATTTTGACTGCATTTTAGAAATCAGTCAAACGTTAAACAAACATCAAGATGATCCAAATTTTTGGCTTAGTTTAAAAGCAAATATGGCTGTCGAGTACACAGGATACAGCATCAAGATTAAGATAAGTTATGATGGCATTGATTTCAGTGCAAATTCATGAGGAATCTACTTCCACGGTACAAAATGGTGTTTTTGAAGGTTTTCCAGGCTAGAACTTGATCAATAACGCGATCAAAGATGGCTCCCTCAACCTCAGAACTCGGACGTCAGCAAGATTCCCAGATTTCATATAGTGTGGTAAACCAAAGACTGAGGAATTAGACAAAGTTTAATAAAATCATTAGCACTATTTATAGTGCTGAAACACTTAAATTAGTTGAGTTTTGTGAACAATAGACCAGCATCACTGTTGGGTTCTGTAAGTTTAACACATCTTGTTTTTAGGATGACATCGTTTCATTATATGAATTATCAGGATATAGATGTAGAAGATACAATAAAAAAGAGAAAGAAGCAGGAAATAGATTATTTTGATATCTACACTCGATGCTAAAACACTGTGGACTAAAAATTTAGTTTTGAAATTATATCTTTATTTAAAAAAAATCCTGCATCTGTTTTTCATAAGATAAAAAGAAAAAAAATGTCCCTAATGCATTTTATATTCTTAAGAAAACAGGACTGAGAACCAAGTTAAATTTTTTTTTTGCCTAAATAATTACTGTATGATGTGCTAAATGAAAACAGAACTAAACAAGCATTCTGGGAGTATTGCATAAGCAATACATGTCCCCTACCGGGTTCCCCTTTTTCTTCAGGATTTTTAATATGCAAAAGTCATGTCCAAGGTTAAACTGAAAGATTTTCAAGTTGTAAATGCCTTAAATCTAATAAAATAATAAACATTAAGACGAAAATTCAACTCATTTATCCATCGTCTTTTCCTCGCTTCATATTTTTGTCGACAATCGGAAGTTGGCGCACTTCGAACCCGATCTTAATTAAGCGATTATGAAAAATATTCAAAATGCCATAATTCTGTCAAAAATCAATGAAGCAAAACAAAATTCAAAATACCGAAATTCAGCTCAATAACTGCAAGCTTTAGAAAAAAAAAGTGCGGAAAACCAAGTGAGAATGAAAAATATTCAAAATGCAATAATTATGTCAAAAATCAATGAAGCGAAATGAAATTCAAACTTGATCTGTAACTCCTTACGATACACTCACGTACCAAAATTCAGCTCAATATCTGGAAGCGTTTAGAAAAAAAAAGAGGAAAACCCAGTGGGACAGACTGACGGGGACAGACAGACGGACAGACAGACAGACGGACAGACGGACGGACGCAGAGGAAACCTATAGTCCCCTCCGGTTTCACCGGTAGGGGACTAATAACAACATTCCTCTTTTTCAGTGGCTAATGATGACTCGCCATTCAAGTCATTTATCAGGATAAATGCTGCAGATTTGAAAGCAGACCCAAGCAGTAGTGCCGTTGCCAGCTCTTATGCAAATGAAAAAGAAAATTTGAAAGTAGGAAGTACTGATAAAAGTGCTGAAGTAGATAATATCCGCAAAGAAAAGAAAGAAGAGAATGTGCAAATGCCTAGTTCACCAACGGAGGACACAGAAGAAGAGAACACAGTAGAGGTAATGGCCAGTCTTATCTCACAGGAAGCTACAGCTATGGTGAAAGAGGAAATTTTTCAGAAAATCTTGTCTGAAAAAGAGAAGTTAACAACAGTAAGCATGCTGGATTTTGCTGGGCAATTGGCGTATTATGCCTGTCACCAAATTTACGTAACACCAAAGGCTTTCTTTATCCTTGTGTTGGACATGACTAAGAAGTTTGAGGACGTTGTCAGTAAAGAGAAAGATAACCAAGAAGGATCAATCTTCTCTGTGTGGACATACAAAGGTAAGACACTTGTAAAATGTTAAATTTTTAGCTCTTCCCCTAGCTCAATAAGTTTCAAATATGTCACATGGTATCCTTGGCCTTATGGCTTCCATCTGTAAAAAAAAAAAACATTGGGTAGTGACCCTTGGGCAAGGGGATATAATTAGAAAAAATGAAACAAAAGTACTGGCTGCTACAAAATCTCTTCTCAAGAACCTATGTTGTAGATTAAAATTTGCACGGGGAATTACCCTCGGGCAAACAGCATGGTCTCAAGGTCTCTTCAAAGTTGTCCAGAAATAACTTTAATCTAAAATGATTCAAATATTGATATTTTGCTTACTATAAGGACTTTTTGTCAGTTGATGCATCTAAGTACCTCATTACTCATTACGTTGACTAAAAAGTAGGTCAAGATGACTTTATAATAATAAATTCTTTTATTTAGACAGGATAGCACAATTAGTACATATGGCTAGTTTACAATGTGGTCCTGTATAAAACATATTTACAGACAGATATAAAAAAAAGAGTAGAAACTAGAGTAAAAAAGAATACATACATAGCATGCTATATCAGACATATTTGTACATACTAATAAATAAACTACTAGTATTAAATACCATGCCAAATCTTTCTCAAAATGATTTAGAGGCATATTTTAAACAATTTCAGGCCTATACTCATTAAACTTTCTTAGTTGATGCATCATAGGCAGGTTTATGGATTACGACTTGCCCACTCGCAAAAGCAGGTAAAATTTGCTGAGGGCGATTACATATTAAAAAAGGATTTACATCGAAGATGAATTCTGTTGATAACTTTCAATAAATTAAAAATGGTTTCATCATTTTTAAAGGAATGAAGTAAAATAATTTTAACATTGGCAATTTTTAACAGAAATCATTAATTTTACATTTTTTTTTTCAATCATCTTAAGTTTTTGGTCTTAGTCGTAAGTTCTTTTGTAAAAGTGACCACTGGTTGCCCAAATGGAGAATGATTTTTTTTTTCCTAGGAACAAAATCAAATTTCAGTTTTATTTTTGATGTACTTTCAGTTTCTAAACAAACGCTTTACTAACTTAGATTACTTATGTTGCGTACAAGTATATTCTTCAAAAATATACGTGACTTAGATCAAACATGGCGATTTATCGTTACAGTTATAAGGAAAAGACCACTAATTATTTTCCCATAGAACTCTATAAAAACCTTAGGCCCTCTCGGCACTTAACTAGGACAATGTCAGAAAAATCCTTAGCACCATTAAAAACTTCCTTAACTATGACAATGTCAGAGAAAAATATAAACTATGACAATTTCAAAAAAAATCCTTAGCATCATTTAAAACTCCCTTAACTATGACAATGTCAGAGAAAAATATAAACTATGACAATTTCAGAAAAATCCTTAGCATCATTTAAAATTTCCTTCTGAGTCCGTACTAAAAAAATGAAAAAAAATATATGGTCCCATGGCGTTTATAGGTCAAAATTGCAGTAACTATTATTTTCAACTTAAAGCGATCAGCAGTAAATAACACGCTACATCAACAATCATTAATTACTACAGTAGTATATAAAGTGTATACATGTATATAAAATGTATTTAATAATACATGTATGTGTTCATGTGGTAGTGTTAGATACAGGTTGATGGCTTCATACTATCTTGGGCTAGTGGGTTAACCTTTAGATCAATCGGAAGAGCATAGAGGCCCTGGGTTCAATCCCAAGAAGAGGCAAACACATGTTAATGTCTCTGTTCAATACAATTATTTGTGGCAGGTATCGGTTCGTTTCAGTGGATTTGACACATGAATTGATAGTCTGTAGCCGGGAATAACGGATCTGTTATATCTGCTAACAGTGGGTGTTGCCAATCAAACTGACTAGACTTCTCCAAACACAGCTTACCGTACTAAAGTACTCTACATCATGATGTACATCTTTCTTAAAAATCATTTTTTTCCTTGCTATAAGTACCAACCAGTAAAGCTACAGTCTCATTAGAGAATTCTAGTTTTATCATTACGCTTTATGCGTTCCTTTAGACTTACATACTCTTGTTTTTTTGTTTAGACTACTTGAAGTTTTGGATAACCTCAATCAAGACATTTGGAGGCAAAAAGGCACCTCTGTTTCTTGCTGTCACACACACAGAGAAAAAATCTAAAGATGTAAGTATTCTGTCTTACAGAAATATAAATTATTATGACAGAATAAACAGATCCCAAACCTATCGTGAGAATGCTCAATTAAAGCCATACTTTAGAAATACAAAGACAAGAAAAAATTTTGGCCTATAAGGTTACAAGATTTGTTACAGTCTTTACAAATTTAATTGGTTTCCATTTATGTCAATGACTATGGGCAAAATAGGTACAGTCAAACCTGTTTTAAGAGGCCACTTGTGGGAGAATGACAAATTGGCCACATAAGACAGGTGGCCACCTATTCCAGGTTTCAAACCAAGGAATAAAAAATTGAGATCACAATTGTATATTTACTTTCAAACGTATCCAAATCCACAATTTCAACACATAAAAAATTAGGAAGCTTAAAGTCACAAGAGATCCCTTTTGTTACAGTTCATTTTACATGAATTTAGGAAAGAAATTTTTTAAAATTGTTTTTTATTGTTGTTTTGTGATGGTAATTTTAAAAGTTTCACAGCAATAGAATTTACATCACACGAAATCATGAAATGTCTCAACAAAATTTCCTGATGATGTGTAAAGCTTTTTAGTTTTTCTTAATATATATAATATAGCATAGTAGGGCTATAACCCGAGACTGGCCACTTGGCTTGATAACCTCGGGCGAAATTGTAGTGTATTTTAATGTATTGATAAACGTATTCAACAGTTGTGTAACAACTCACTTTCGTATATAAAGAACAAAAAAGAAAAAAAAAGCATTTGTAAAAAGTAAATTATTTAATCATATTCATTAAATCATTAAATCTTGAATGAATTCAAATTACACCTACAATTATCGGTAATTACTCATTATCAGCTGTTCATGTTTGGCTTCTCGAGGATACGAGGTCATGTGGCCAGACGGAAGTCATGTGACTAAACAGACAAAATGGCCGCTTAAAACAGGCATGTTGAGCGCATGGGACCTAAAAACACTGGCCACTGGCCACGTTAGACAGGTGGCCGCTTAAATGAGTTAAAATATAGTGAAAAAATGAACGGGCGGGATTGAAACTGGCCGCTCATGACGAGTGGCCGCTGATTAAGGGTGGCCGTAACAGCAGGTGCGACTGTATAATAATTCATATCTTTTACTGTAGACGTACTTTTTCCCACAGGGTCATAATTCCGCGGAATCTTAATTTCTGTTTAAACCGCGAGTAGAAAAGTGTGCGAATTTCCTAGACTGTCACTTAATGCTTTACATTTATATATAAAGTACACTTACCTGGACAAATTTCCATGGGAAATTTGTGACTGCGTACATAGTGTTAATCAATACTACGCAAAAATGTACTTCTACAGTATATTGATGGCTTACAGGTACCTGAGCTGAAAACTGAAGTGAGCTTTATGGATCACCCATTGTCCTGAGACATTCCGCCTGTCTCTGTATCTGTATCTGTTTTTTTTTTATATTTTTCAAAAATTTCTTATTTTTTCTTCTTTAGTATCACTGTGCCGAAATTAACCAAGTTTGCACAACGAATCCTTTGTTTTATGAAATTTTAAATTTTCAAAGCCCTAGTTTTAATTCTGTACGCTCAATTTGACCATGGTATTTACTTGAAGAAGTATTGAAATTTAACTTTATTCTGTTCTTATTTTGTATTCAACAGAAAAATAGTTAAATGTAAGACCAAAACTGGAAAACACCAAAAGAAAGTAATCAATCATAATATATAGTCAAAAATATGATAACAATTAGTTCTCTGTCATAGCAAATAATAACTTTGCTGTCTGTTGTCCCAGTTGCCTGTAATAGGGTGTGAAGAAGGACCATTCTTTCTTCCAAGAGGAGATAATCAAGGGAAAACTAGGTAGAAGTCATTAGAAGTCACTAAAAAATTATCATCATAACAAGATCCTAAAGCTTTGTACCAGGAAAATTTAAACTTGTGTGAAAGCTTCCTAACATAGTGTGTGTTAATTCTAATTTATTTAAATCTTGGTTTTTAGGGGTAGGTAAGGCCACAATAGGACATTAAAGTTCATAATAAAACCTGATTATCCGCTAGACCAGGGAAGCTGAACCGTGTGATACCATAACTTGATCATTTCAACATTGGTTCCGATGGTAGGGTGTGGCCACAACAGGCAATCAGAGATTTGGTTTGAAATATTATAAGAAAAAAAAATATTGATAATTCGAATCTTCTTTTTGAACCTCATTTTCAAACATATAGGTTTTAATGTTATTTTTTGGAGTTGAATAATGTTCAATCTCCCTTGGTCATCACGCAATTAACATGCGCAGTAATTAGGTCCCTGCAAGGATTTGTGGGTGCCCTATAGTAATCACTCTGTCTGCCCGTCTGTCCGTCTGTCCGTCTGTCACTCTTCCGTCCACAAATTGCCCAATCGAATTCAAATTTGGTGCGGTAGTTCAGTAGGCAGAAATACGTATTTTGATGCTAAGTTTGTCACTCTACGTCTTCTAGTTTGGAGCTGGGGTTGTGGGGTAGATTTCTTAACTATGCACAATGAATTGGCAAAGAGAGATAACTGCTGAAGATGTTCCCATTGTTAAGTGAATGCTGCTATGAGTCCCTTGGGTTTAATTAGCTTTCCTCCTGAAGAAAATCCAAAGCATTATCTTTATCTGTCACATTAAGATTAATTACTGTACCAGTATCCTCTGTCTGCAAATGAACTTTGTTTTTTAAGTTAAGGTCAATTTTGGATGATGAGCACATTCTTTGAAATATGGATTTAAAATAATATTCATACTTTATTTAGGTTAAATACCGTACACAATGATATATGTTAATTTTATTGAATTCTAAAATCAAGATATATGTTATTAATAAGATATTCTTTCTTAATATCACTATTTCATTTGTTTTGCTGCCTTTATGCTCATAATTTGAATAGGTAATCACATTGTAACCCCATTCTGTCAGAGCTGAAAAAAGTTCTTATTGTAAATTTAGAAGAAAAGGATGAGAGAGAGCAGTACAATTACAGTACTGTAATCTCCTGGGATTAATTATCGTGCTTGATGCAGAAAATTTAGAGGCTTATCTTTATCTGTCACATGAAGATTAATGAACACCTTTGTCTGTAACTGATATTTGTTATAAAGTTGAGTTCAACCTTGGGTGATATTTGCATTCACTGAAAGCTTGCATTTTATAAAATACCTGCTTAAATCTTTTTAAATCCCCATTTAATTAAGTTGTTTTTTTTTATAAGACATGAATTTTAGACATGAGGGTTTTCCTGTTTTTTATGTAAATACAAGGTTTCTATTTAAAGTTTTGGGACATTCAGGAATTATCTTGAAATTTTAAAAATATTGTAACAGTTGTAACTTATAATCTTCATAATTTTGTTAAAAAGTAATCAAGTAAAACTCTCATTCAAAGAGCTGCAGCCTTATATTTATACCCCTTAGCGGGGCCCTTGCTAACTGGTCAGTTTTCTAGTTTGTGTTCATTATATTGAGCCGAAAGTGAGGCTACTGTGTCGACCAATTTACTCCGTTGATATTCAGAAAACATGCATAACAATTCGCAACAAATAGTTCATGTCAATTTCTCCTGAATTGATCTTATTTTTATAATCTGAAATGTAAGTAAATGTAATGATGAAGTAATCTTATCATTCACCCCGCTTGAAAAGTGGGAGGGTATATAGTAATCGGGATTTCCGTCCATCCGTTTGTACATCTGTCCATCCGTCTGTTAGGCTTTATCTCTTATCCATAACTTTTCTTATACTACTGAGTGAAATTTATTGAAACTTTCACAGAATCTTTATTACATATTGCCATTGTCCACAACCTATTTTAATTTTTTATTCGACACGTATTTTAGGTTACCCATAGCAAAACATGGACTTTGCCATTATATGTTTACCTATGATGTCACATATAGAAGCTTCTGGATAACATTTGATAGGATGAGTTATTCCTCTTTACACATTACCGTAAAACAATTTATTATATATCTAATGTGTATCACCCAATTTTACTGTTGAATTTACGCTATCACGTGACATTTTGATTCGATTTTCCGGATCACCAATATGTTGTTTTCTGAATCCATATCACCACTCCTGAAACTGATGACGTAGCACGCAAAAATATGACGTTATTTTTCTTGCGCGTTAAAAAGTCCCTTGTTATTATGCTTTGTTTTGTGGATAAATGTTGTACAATTGATCCCCAAAGTTTTCTTTTGCTATATTTTGCTAGTTATGAGGAGGTATATAATAAATTTATCCTTATAACAGTAATTTGATCCGAAGAGCCGTATCACATCTCGTTGACACGCGCGGATCATCAGATAAAACTCGACGCTTCGCGTCTCGTTAGATCTGATGATCCGCACCTGTCAACTCGACGTGATACGACCCTTCAAATCAAGTTACTGTTGTAATATATATATATATATATATATATATATATATATATATATATATATATATATATATATATATATATATATATATATATATAGCAACACATGGACATTATGGGAGGCGGGATTATTATTAAGTGAGCTCATTGCTCACAGTACCTCTAATTTTGAATATTAGATTTTGTTCAAAGTAAAACTAAATTATAAAGAACCTCAAAAGTTTTTTTCGTAATGGAACTCATGTTTAGTGTTGCGTCATCTATAAACACTGAAAGAGATACGAACGACAACTCTACATACAGACGGCAAGAGGTAAATCTAGTCTTCCTGACGCCCGACTCATGATGGTCCCAGATTTTGGATTTTTAGCAATTTCTTTTTTACTGGTGCACAGAATTTATCCAAACTTTTCATGAATATTTTCTTGGTTTAAATGAAGTCATTCATTCATAAAAACTTTAGGAAACATGTGTATTTATTACCAAATTAGCAGTATCACCTGCCAAAAAACGGTAAATCTAGTATTCTGTTATAAATGTCAAATCCAAAAACTGGTTTTTGTAGAATCGCAATTAAAAACAACAAAATGAAGTCATATATCTTTTTATGCCCTGCCATGAATATGGCCAGGGCATATAGTGTTTGTCATGTCTGTCTTCCTTCCTTCTGTCCTTCCATCCTTCTGTCCTTCCGTCCTTCCATCCTTCCGTCACATTTTGCGTTTAGATCTGTTCAAAACTAAGTTTCAAAGACACTACAAGACTTGCTTCGGATGCTGGATCTCACCTTTATTTTGATTCCCAAGTAACTATAAACCCTACCTGAACCAAACTTGCATGGATGATGCATCTAAGGATGGACACTACCAGACTTGCTTTGAATGCTTGATCTGACCTTTATTCTGATTCCCAAGTAACTATAAGCCTTACCTGAACCAAACTTGCATTGCATGGATGATGCATCTAGGGATGGACACTACCAGACTTTGCTTTGGATGCTGGATCTGACCTATATTTTGATTCTCAAGTAACTATAAGCCTTACCTGAACCAAACTTTCATGGATGATGCATCTAGGAATGGACACTACCAAACTTGCTTTGGATGCTGGATCTGACCTATATTTTCATTCCAAAGTAATCTAAAGTCCTAACTGAAGCAAACTTGCATAGATGAGGCATCTAGGGATGGACACTACCAGGCTTGCTTTGGATGCTTGAACTGACCTATATTTTGATTCCCAAGTAACTATAAGCCCTACCTGAACCAAACTTGCATGGGGGATGGCTCTAGGGATGGACAGTACAAGACTTGCTTTGGATGCTGGATCTGACCTATATTTTCCAAACAAGCAATGTTTAGAGATTGTACTTATTTTAGTGGTTTTGGCTCCACCCCCCAGGCCCCAGGGGACAGGGACCATTAAATTCATAATTTCTGTTCCCCTTCACCCCGTGATGCTATATGCCAAAATTGGTAGAAATTGGTTTTGCGGTTTCAGAGAAGAAGCTGAAAATGTTCAAATGATAACGAACGACAAAAAAAGATAGCAATAGGTCACCTAAGTTTACTCAGGTGACCTAAAAAGACACAATTCTCGTCATTTTCTAGTCTTTAATTGAAAATTCAGAATTGATCCTAACCCTAACCCTAACCTTAAATGATGTCAATAGTGTTTTTGATCATACTAATATATAGTTATGATGTTATGCTCTTCTTCCTGGATTGTGAATTTCCAGGCCCCTGGGTTATTGATACCATGGAAGGGGGGGGGGGGCTCGACTTATATACTGGATATGAATCATTTGAAATCAGTTCCTTGGCATTAATCAAACATTTTTGATAAGCAAGTGTGCCTTTTCAAAAAGAAATACGCACGCTAACTCTCGATTCCCGCCTACATTTTGGAACCATTTAGTTATTAATAAATATAAATAGTAATTTGGCCTTAAAATGAGTTAAGATGTTTTAATAGTATTTTCCGTTTTCCGTTGATTTCGGTAGTGAAAAAAAGTTATACCAAAATTATAGAGTTATCTCTCTTTCTTTTCCCAAAGAAGTAATGTTTTATGAAAATTGTATAGTTATCTATAAAAAATATTAAAAATCCATCGAATATGTTAACTTTTTAAAGATTGACTTGAGTGTAGGCGGGAGAACAATACTATTGTTCACAGTTGTTATGCAATGTGTGAACCTAGGGTCAGGGGTTCATTGTGGTGGGGGCACTTCTGATTATTGCTGTATATTACTGATTACTTGATATGCATTTTTAGGTCACCTGAGTAAAATCAGGTGACCTATTGCTATCCGTTTTCATCTGAACCAATTTCAACCCAAATTTGGCATAGAGCAGCTATGGGTGAAGGGGAACAAAAATTTTGAATTTCATTGGGGGTGGGGGTAACATAGTATGAAAATTATTTAATGCTTTGAAATCTGAACTTTCGTATTAATCAACAACATGATGAAATAAAATTTATAAAATTTCCAAAGTTTTGAAAGATGTGGCTCCAGGGTCAGTGGTTCCCGTGGGATTGGGTGCACAACTGCTGAGTGTATAATTATGATAAGCAATGGTGCCTCTTTCAAAATTGTGTCGGAATTCTATGGCCTCTGGTTTAACACATGAATCAAATTTAATTTGTTGGAAAGTTGTTGCATGATACTCAGGGGACCTATTAGGCCCAGGGGCCTCTTGTTTGTTCCCTACCCTGCCTATGGGTATTTAGAAGGCTAAGTAACTAAAGTAAGCAATTGCTAAGTTCATAGTTATGATTTGCAATGGTGCCAGCCTCTCAGAATTGTGAATGCTGTAGCATTTATCTTAAGTCATAAACCAAATTCTATCATTTGAAAGTTGTTGCATGGTTCTCAGGTGACCTATAAGACCCATGGGCCTTTTGTTTAAGAATCTGTTTACCGTTAATGTGTTTGGCTTTTTCATTTTAAGAAAAATACTAGATTTAAAACGTGACGTTTCGTTGTGACTCCTCCTGTGCGCTTCTATAAAATAAAGGCAAATAATCATTATTAAATTAAAATTTCAATGATAATTAGATGATATTTGTGCATCTTTAAGTAAAGTGCATTTGATAATATGCGCCAAATATAAAAGATATGGACACTGTGACATTACTTTTGGATCAACCCGCGTACATTTACGATGTCAAAAACAGACTTGTCTTAAAGATAACTAAATAAGCATTGGAAAAAAATGACAGTTTTTAAAAAGGCAAGAATTTGGAAAACAAAAAGCTGTAAATATGTAGTACTTTTTCAGGAAAACTACCTTTCGTCTGCTTTACATCTAAAATGAAAATATATACAACAATGGATACCAAATCTAGTTTTGTTTGTAAACAACTTTTATTATGAACCAATTGTACTGCTGAAATACCTGTAATTCCAGATTTTTCAAACATTTACACATAATATAGCATTACAGTTTTATAATCATAGCACACAATCAGTATAAAAATATCTTCATGCTTACTTTGTTTCCTTCTTCAGGAAATAGAGAAGTATTTTAGGGAGTTTTGGAAAGCTGTACCAGACGAGGACAGAGATTGGTTAAGTGAGTCTCTGAATGATCGGGAATATGCAGTAGGTCTGAAGGAACTTAATGATAATACCAAGGAAATGCTAGAGTCAATGAAAAAGTCCATAGTGGAACTATTCACAGATGAGAACAATACAAAAGTTGAATTGCCTTCTTCGTGGGCTTTAATGGAGCAGTTATTATATGAAAGAGGGTGGAAAGTTTTGTCCCTGAGTGAAATCAGGAAGCTCAACTCATCTCTTCCTCATGAATACCAAATCAAAAGTGATGAAGAAATGACAAAATTTTTAAAATGTTTCCATGACAGTGGCCTTCTTTTGAATTTTGAAGAAGCGGACTTGAGGGAACATGTTATACTAGATATTCAGTGGTTTGCTAATGCTTTCAGTAAGATAATTGCTGATGAAAACCACATCAATAAAGATTGTAAAAGGAAATTAATCAGAGAGTGGAAATCCTTTAACAAAACGGGGGAACTAAAAGATAAAGTGATAGATGCTTTGTGGAAAGAGGAACCCTCTTACTTGAAACATAAAAGTGAAATTATGCCGTACATGGAGAAGCTTCAAATGCTAGTACATTTGAATGCATATGAGGCTGTATCAGAAGGTGGCATGTCATGGTATGTCCCGTGTATGAACAAAAAGCAGTTTAAAGCTGACTTCCATGAAAATAAATGGGAATGCTCATCCATTTTGTGCTATCGATTCACTTCATTTGCCATGTTTGTGTTCTACAGACTGGTAGCATACTGCATAAGTTCTCTAAGATGGAGTGTTGCAAAAGATGAAGATAATGAAGGAAGCCCATGTCTTTATCAAACGGCGGCAGTGTTTGATCACAAAGAACACATTGTTGTTGTTGGCATATGTGATGATGATATTCAGTTGCAGGTGCTGAGAATCAAACCATTGACTATAGACAAAGAAGTATCAAATGAAATTGGAGTCTCCATTGATAAAGCAATACAAAAATTGACAGAAACATTTATTGGCACAAAGATATTCCTCAGAGGATTCAAATGTCAAAATATTATTTGTGATGAGAGAGATGTGTCTTTTACCCTTTCGAGTGAGCTGTCCAATATCAGGGCTGAAGAAACGCAGTGCAAGTGTCAACTACAGGAGAAACATGTGATTAATATACAGATGACTTTGGGATTCTGGGAAAAGGTATCAATATGAATTTAAACTTACTTTGTGGTTAGAAATCTGTTTATGTTATAATTAATAATAATAAAAAGAACAATTAAACACTATTAGATTTTACGACAAAGTTAAAAATTAAATTTCATGCATAGATTTCATATTTCATATAAAATCGTATAAAATACTATAAGCTTTCTCATTTAAATTTTGCAAATTTTTGGATGATTAAAGAAGAACTATATTGATTTGATACTCTTAGAAATTCCTTGTTAATTTTCACTGTTAATACGTAAGCTCATTTCTAAAAAAAATCGATACAATTCATGATAAATGCAAAGTATATTGCACTATAATATAACTGCCCTTTTCTCAGGACAGTTTATATGAACTGAAGATTGATGATATTTAAACTAATGCTATTGTGATTACATTTGTAAATCAAGTCTTATATTTGTGAGCTAACACTCATGTGCTATTATTAATGCTAATAATCTATATTTCAAAATCATTCTCAGGGAGGTACTGTCAAATTACATATTTTCATAGGGTAATTTTGGGTGGTTTGAGTAAAAACTCTTCGTTTGAGGGGGATTTGAATTCATGGGTGAAGAATTTTGAGTACTTCTGTATGTAACATGTGTAACATTATACATTTCGTGGTGGACCTGAATTCATAAATCTCTGCACACCTTGAAATAACGAAAATTAACCCCAAACCCCCCACACAAAAATTTGTGATATCA